CACACACAAAGCATTGGCCGCCCCCTGGGTGCCCCAGGGCTCTGCCAGGAGCGGCCCGTATAAAATACACCACAAATTTAAACACCAGGGGCTGGAGCGATAGCACAGTGGGGAGGGTGTTTGCCTTGCATGTGGTCGACCCGGGTTTGATTCCCAGCATCCCATAGGGTCCCCCGAGCACCGCCAGGAGGACCCCGAGCCCGACTCCCAGGCTTCCTGCTGGCCAGGGGTGGAGCTGGCCACCGTCTGCCCCTGAAGCCTCCGCTGGTCTGCGCCCCCACCACTGTGGGCTCTTGGCCCCCAGACACACGCACACGCCTCCCGGCAGCCTTGTCCTCCAGACACCATGCTCACCTCTGTTCTGAGTACACACACACACACACACACACACACACACACACAATGTATTCATTGAATACATTATGTTTGCCCCAGCAAGTGTGAAACGGGACCCTTGTCCAGCGCTGACACCGGGAGCAAAAGTGGTCTGGGGGGACGCTGGGACATCAGGGACGACTGTGGAGGGTGGGCTCGGCGGGGGCTCTGGCCCTCCCACCCACTGGGCCCGGCGTGGTCCAAGTGAGGCCCCCCGCCCAGCCGCTGGGAGACTCAATGGCGCCTCGAAAGAACTCGCGGGTGGAGGGATGAGGAGAGAGGCCTGGAGCACCGGCAGGCAGCGGCCACTTCACTGCAACGATGGGCCTGGCCAGAGGGGCCTGGGCTGAGCAGGGGCAGCTGGTGCTGGTGCTGGTGCGGGCGCTGACAGCAGCTCCCCGTCTCTGTGGCAATGCTAATGCACTGGGGTGGCTTTTCTTTTTTTCGGTGGGGGGGGGGCGCCAAGTAGTGACCAGGGGCCCAAGGTCACTTCCAGTGGACCTAGAGGTGCTGCTCGGGCCCTGCCCCGAGCCTGGTAGAAGAACCCCAGAAGGCCGGCCTGAGTGCTGCCCTGCTCCCTAGGCCTGATCTGCGGCAGGCCCCATGCACAGAGGGGTGTGAGGGGAAGAGGGGGCGAGTGTGTGTGGAGAGGGTGTGTGTGTGGGAGAGGGGATGTGTGTGAGGGCGTGTGTGTGAGGGGGGAGGGTATTTGTGTGGGGAGTGGGTGTGTGTGGAGAGGGAGTATGTGTGGGTAGCAGGTGTGTGTGTGGAAGGTGTGTGGGGGAGAGAGGGTATGTGTGTGAGGGTGTGTGTGTGTGAGAGGGTGTATGTGTGTGGAAAGGGTGTGTGTGGGGGAGAGGGTGTGTGTGAGAGGGTGAGAGGGTGTGTGTGTGTGTGTGAGAGTGTGTGTGTGTGTGTGAGAGAGAGGGTGTGTGTGTATGTGGGAGAGGGTGTGTGTGTGAGAGGGGATGTGTGTAGAAAGGGTATGTGTGTGGGGGAGAGGGTGTGGGGGGGCAGTGTGTTCGTGTGGGGAGAGGGTGTGTGTGTGTGCGTAAGTGTGTGAGAGGGGATGTGTGTGTGGAAAGGGTGTGTGGGGGGAGAGCGGGTATGTGTGGGAGACAGTGTGTATGTGGGGAGAGGGTTGTGTGTGTGTGCGTGTGCACGCGTGTGTGTGCGTGTGTGTGCACGTGCGTGTGTTTGTGCGTGTGCGTGTGTAGGTCTCGAGCCACACGCAGCCGGGGCCCTCCCCATTTGTCGATCCGCCCGGGTCTGGCTGCACGGAATAACTGTTCTTCTTTCCAGGAGAGCCCGCCTGGGGGTGGGCGTGGGGAGGAGGAGCAGGAGCCTAAAATACTCCCTATCTGACTCACTGCGTCCGATCTGACAGGCTGCCTGCCAGGTGGGGGCCTCGCCTGTCCCATTTTTTCTCATCTATCTTTAGCAGGACTTAATGAGGGCAATTTCCGTGCTAGGAAAGACAAACCGTGGGCAAGGGGAGCTGATCCGTCTCGCTGTCCCCTGGGCTCAGCTGATGGGACGACAGTGACGCTGACGGGCTGGCGGGGGGGGGGGGGCCCGGGGAAGGTGTCATCCCAGGAGGGGGCCTGGGAGGGCAGCCTGGGCCAGGTAACCTCCATCTGTGCCCCCACGCGGCTCGGGTCTCAAGATAAACCCCCGTTGCTTCCAGGTCAGACCTTCGTCTCTTCACCGTCTCTCTCCCTGCTGGGAGGGCCCAGGTGATGCTCAAGAATCCAGGAAGGTCCGGAGAGACAGTGGAGTGGGCGGGAGGGCGCTCGCCATGCATGGGTCCAGCCCTGGCCTGGTCCCCGGCACTGCAGAGGGTCTCCCGAGCCCACTGGGGGTGACCCCTGAGCGCAGAAGCAGGGGAAAGCCTTGACACACGCGGGGTGGCCCTCAAACCAAAATGAAGAAATAAACCAAGATGACTGAAACCTGGGCTGGAGCAATAGCACAGCGGGTAGGGCGTTTGCCTTGCATGCAGCCAGCCCGGCTGAGCCAGGTTCGATTCCTCCGCCCCTCTCGGAGAGCCCAGCAAGTTACCGAGAGCATCTCACCCGCATGGCAAAGCCTGGCAAGCTCCCCGTGGCGTATTCGATATGCCAGACACAGTAACAAGTCTCACAATGGAGACGTTACTGGGCCCACTCGAGCAAATCGATGAACAGTGGGAGGACAGTGACAGTGACAGTGACTGAAACCTTGAGATGTGCTCTGAAGTGCCGTGGACATTCCTGTGGGCAGTCCCATGGGCAGCGAAGCGGCTATGCACGGCATCGCGCTCCCAGCCAGACCTGCTGAGCCCGTCCTCTGCACACGCTTCTGCTCACATGCACACAAGCGTCCATGCTTTGATAGTGGACATTCATGCTTGGGGCTTTACATGCATGTCTGCGGCCTCCCCTTCACTCCTCCCTTCCCCGGCGAGCATGTGGGGTGCCCAGGAGGGGTGACCTTGGTGCAGATCGGCCAAGGTCAGTGGCACAACCGGACTTGGTCCTCCCTCGTCTGCATGAGCTGGGGGGCGCAGGGCTCTGCTTCCTGCCCACAAGTCCCCGATGCGGGGGGAAGGAGGAGCACCAGGCGCAGGGTACTCTTCACGGACTAGGGGACACTCTAAGCCCGTCCTTGGGCCTGAACACAGCCCTGGTGTCCCGCCATCCAGGCCGGTACCCAAGCTCTGAGGATGAGAGCATCTCGAAGGAGCAAAACATCTGGTCATCTGCTGAGTGTGTCTCTGCCGAGCCAGGCCCAGAATCCTCACCTCCAGAGCCCTAGAGACAACCCCGGGGAGCCTGGGCAGGGCGGGAGGGCCAAGCTGGGGGCACGGGACGAAGGAGGCCAAGCCCCTCAGACAAGCTCGGGCCTGCAGCAGGGGCTGCTTCTCACAAAGACCCTTCCCAGGCCCCTCCAAGCCTCCCCGCCAGCAGGCGCACTTGACAGGAGAAGAAAGGGAGGCTTCCAGCTCCTGATCACTCTTGGACACGGCCCGGAGGCAGCAAGGCGGGGCCAGTCCTTGCTATGGCCTGTGGGAGAGGCTCAAGCTGGCACTGGGAGGTGGCGGGTCCCCGGCCACTGGACCCGCTCCTGCTACTGGGTACTGCCAGGATAAAGCAAGCCCCCAATACCTGGACGGACGTGTAGCCGCTAGCCCAGAGCATTCATCTACAGAGCAGTGGGGAGTGGGGCCCGGCAAGGCCACGCTACTCACCAAACCACCCTCACTCCCTCCACTAGCCGCCATTCACTCACCACGCCATCCACCACACTATCCACACACCATCCACAGACCACCCACCACAGCTTCCACTACACCATCCACCATGCCACCCAACCATGCCATCCACCACGCCATCCACCATGCCATTCACCATGCCATCCACACACCATCCACCACGCCATCCACCACCCACGACCAACAACACAATCCACTGCTCTACCATTACCACACCATCCACCACCCCAGCCACCATCCACCACAATCTACCACTCCATCCACCATGCCATCCACACACCATCCACACCATCCATACACCATTCACACACCATCCACTGTGATCCGAGACACCATCCACAGCGCAATCCACGAGATGTGCACTGACGGTCAAGAAGGCAAGGGCTGCCCCTGGCGTCTCAGCCGTCAGTTCCTCAAGTGTGAGAAACATCCTGAGCGGGGCTGTCTCTCCCACCCCGCTCTCCTGGCTAAGGGACAGGTCACGGGGGTGGAGTGGGGGTGCCGACACTGCTCAGGTGGGGGTGGGGCGCAGCCCCACACCTGGCGTCCACCCACCAGGGGCCCATTGATCCCAGCTTCAGACTCCCTCCTTCTCTCTCTCCTCTCCCTCCCTCCCTCTCCCTCTCTCCCTCCCTCCCTCCCTCCCTCCCTCTCTCTCTCTCTCTCTCTCTCTCCCCCTCTCTCTTTCTCTCTCTCAGTCTCTCTGCCTTTTCTTTCGTCTCTTCTGGCTTTCTTTCCTGCCTCTTCCTTCCCTCCCTCCCTCTGCTTTCGTTCCTCCCTTCTGTTAAAAATATTCCCATCCAGAAATAATGTTTGCATTCCCAAGCAAAAATATACTCGAACTGCCAACGCCACCCTACCACCCCCATTTTAGCACACGGGACCCCACACGCAAACTCTGTTCTGCTCTTGGAGATTGTCTCTGGAAACGGACCTCAACGCCCTAGGCAGGACCAGAGTAATTGGGAAACCAAGGCACGGCCAGACGGCCCGCCCCGAGTGCTAGTTCCACTCTGGGCCCTGCTCTGGCCCCCGAGGTCACGGGAGGGTACCCAGGCAGGGGAGGCCGGCTTCTCCTCTGGGCATGGGGGAGCCAGAGGTGCACTGGCAACCGGCCCTGGCAGCACACACGGAGGCCAGGCAGAAGGCGCAGAGAGCTCGTCCGCGGCTTCCAGGAGGCCAAGTTCACGCACATGAACAGCGGCGAGGGAAGAAGCGACATCTCCCACTGGACACACACCCGGCCGGGCCCCGGGCTCCTGAGGGACATGTGCAGCTGCCTAGCCAGGTGGTCACCAGCCCTGTCACACCCATCCGGCCAGCGGTGGCCCAAACCCAGAGCGTCAGCCGCGAGCGGCGGGGTCTGTCCTACCTGCGGTCGTTCCTTCTCCTCCGGAAGAGCTTCTTGGTGTGCGCGATCTCCACCTCGTGGGGCAGCGGGTGGTAGCCCTGCGGGCACGGGGGACAGAGGGACATGAGTGAGTGCTGAGCCGGGGCTTCCGAGTGACTCCCACACACCGTAGCAGCGAGGGGCCCCGGCTTCACCAAGACCAGACCCCGGCCACCCAGCCTGGCCAGGATGAGGATGCTGTGAGGATAGCTGCCTCCTGACTCTGCTGGGGTCACAGGGCCCACGCCGGGCTGCCTATGGAGGCCTGGCACCGCTTGGCCGCCCCAGTGCCACTGGGAATGACCGCCCCACCACCCTCAGCCCTCCAGGAGTGGCCCCCAAACCAAGCAAATGGGGTGGACCTTAGAGCTCCTTGCATTCAGGCAAAGGGACTTCACGCGAGAGTCCGGCTGTACCAGAAGATGTCCCAGCCGTCAGAGGACAGATCTGGGCCCCTTGTGAGCGCACTGCCATCCGGGCATGCTTGGGAATGCCCTCTTCTCGGAACCCAGGAGGAGTCCCCCGAACACTGAGCCCCCTGCAGAGGGACCGCCTGGTCTCAGATCTACACCCGAGTGAGGGACCCACCCCCTCGGTCTCACTCATCCCTAAGAGGGATGGAGCCGGCTCCACACTTTGCCGGCTTTGCTGGGGGCCGCCGGGATGGGCTCTGTGGGTGGGTTTTCACCCAGGTCGGAGGGAAGGGGGGAAAGGGGGTGCTGCTCCCGTCAGGATGCTGGTGACCGTCAACTCTCGGAGTGACACCCGGCAGTGCTGGGAGGCCGTGCAGGGCTGGAAACCGACTGGCCTTGGCCACCGGCACCGTGACCCTGGTGCCCTCTCCCTGGCCCTCAGCGGGAAAGCGTGCCCTGGAGTGGGAGGGGGCATTGCCAAGCCTCAATGGATAGTGGGAGACAGGAACAGTGCTCTGGCGATGACCCACAGTACCGGGCACACACAGAGGAGTCCAGCGTGCAGGGAGGTGGCGAGGGGCATCCCACCCCCTCTCCCGCATGGCGTTAGTGACCCCACGAGGACCTGTGATGGGTTCATGAGGCGCCCGGCAGAGGTCCCCAGCTGCCTTCTCAGACCTCAGTCCCCCACTCAGCCCTGCTGGGCAGCCCGGGGCCTTAGACACTCAGCCTAGCCTCTGGCCACTCCAGAGAGGGAGGCAGGAATGAGGGCTGGCACCAGGCAGCCACGAGGGGCCCCTGTGGTCGAGGGTGTGCTTAGCTACAGGTGCTCAGCTCAGAGGCCATCGTTTACTCTCTTCAACACGGAACATGACCAAGGAGACGCAGCCAGTCAGCCCCTCATGTCCCCTCTCCCGCGATGCCCCAGGCCTGGGTCAATGCAGGGGCCCTCTGGGACACAATATGCCCCTGTCCCTGGGGCCTGTGGAGTCTGAACCATGCCAAGGCTCCCTCAGGGTCCAGAAGGTGCCTCAGCATGTGTCCCCCACCCCCTTGTGTCCCCCATCCCCCTTCAGCGTAGCCCGCAATCCCTGGGCATGCTGGGCCCCGGGCGCCTCCAATGGGTCCATGCACCTGACCTCTGTGTCCATCTCTCCCTGTTCCCTCCCCGCCACCAGTTCAGAATTTGAGTTCTGGAGCAAACACCTCAGCTCTGCCACTGGGATGGCTGTGTGACTTTGAGTCCATGACTTGATCTCTCTGGGCCTCATTTTCCACAGCCATCATGTGGAGAGAAGGGGCACCAGAATTTGAGGCTCCCAGGCTCTGCCAAGATCCACAAGCATCCCAGGTGCCATCCTGCCTCCTTGTCTCCCAGCCCTTGAGGAGTCATCACCCCCTAATCTGGGGCAGGCAGTGGGCAGCAGGGACCGTGAGCGGGTGGGAGGCATGGGACAGCGGGCAGGGAAGGCGGAGAGGACCGGCAGACGGGGGTGCTGTGGAAGGCTGGGCTGGCAGACCCCCGTGAGAGGTCAGAGATCAGCGGGGCCCCCGAGTCCCTTTGTGGTCCCGGTTACACACCTTCCCAACCAATAAAAGTTTTCCGAGTTGTTTCCTATTATTTGCAAACAAAGTCCTAAGTAATTCAGCCTGATAAGCCAAGAGTGCTACTGAGACAGATCTCAGCTGGTTGCCTTTGTGAGGTCCTGGAAAGCAAAAGCAAACATTTCTCTCTCTCTCTCTCTCTCTCTCTCTCTCTCTCTCTCTCTCTCTCTCTCTCTCCCTCCCTCCCTCCCTCTCTCTCACACACACACTACTTAAATTTTCACATACACAAACTCAACATACACACTTAACACACACAGTCAACACTCAATCACATTCTCACACTCAAAACACATTCAAGACATATACCCAAGACCAACACAAACAATCTCACACACACATTTTCACATACATACACTCAGATTCCCAAACGTGCAGACACACACACTCTCAAACACACTCACATCCCCATATACACACTCTCAAACACTCATACACACTCCCTTTCTCACCCACACACCCAAACTCATTCAAATACACACACTCACATTCGCCACACTCCCATGATGCAGACACATACTCCCACTCCCACACACACATTCTCACACACATTCACACTCAAACACACTCACACTCATATACACTCAAACACACTCACTTTTTTGGGTCACACCCAGCGATGCACAGGGTTTACTCCTCTGCACTCAGGAATCACCCCTGGCGGTGCTCAGGGGACCCTATGGGATGCTGGGAATCGAACCCAGGTAGGCCTTGTGCCAGGCAAACGTCCTACCTGCTGTGCTATTGCTCCAGCCCCACACTCACATTCTCACACATACACAATCCACTGGATAAGGTCACAACAGAGCAGGGCCGGACCAGAGTTTCTAGGAAAAGGCGGAGAGCAAATATTCCACATGGCCGTCTGGTCACAGTACCTGCTGGACACTCAACCTTTCTAGGGTCAGAACAACTGGGATCTAGGGCTGTGTCTCAATAAAACTTTATTTATAAACACAGGGGGTGGGCCAGAGGTGGGTGCACAGCCCAGCTTGGGAACCCTGCCCTGGAGAGCCATGCCTTGCATTGACAGCACTTGGTCCCCCACTGGGGGCAGGCAATTACTTGCCTTTGACAGGCATGACCTCGCCCCATGCACAAATGTGGCTGTTTCATCCCCTTTTCAGGGAAGGCCCCGATAATTGGCATCTGCAGAAGAAGGCAAATGGGCTCTATTCACAGTGCTCTCATCCAGGCTGCTCACTGGCCAGCCCTCAGCCCCGGGGTCCCACTGCAAAGGCTGTGAGCCTGTGCTGTGAGGGGTCCACATGCTCTCCAGGGGATCCGAACCAGTCTGAGACCCAAAGAACAAAACCAACAAAGGGCAAATGTGAGGCAGGAGGGCAGGGAGGGGGAGTGGGGGGCCTGGAGACCCCCCTCAGATGGGGCTCACACTCAAGCTAGAGTCCACAGCTAAGGGTGGGGCCCAAGGCGGGAGTAGCCCTAGGTTTGACCCCGCACGTAAGCAGACAACTGGGGCCCACAAGACCTTCCGTTCCCGCTCCCCAGACGCCGTGCCTGGCTCCTGGCCGACCGCACAGGAGACAGTGGCACCAAGTGCCCGCACCTGATGCTCAATTATCCATCACTCAGCTCCAAAAAAACCGGAAGCTGACGTCTGCCGAGTTGGGGGCGGGGGACGCCAGTGTAGACGGAGAAAGATGAGGCAGAGGAGATGAGCACAACTTCGCCTGGTCCTGACGAGCACCTCCGCCCGCTCCTCTGGATTCACGGAACCTCACGGTGGGGGCTACACCCAGCCCCTAAAACCGTGGCGTGTAGGGTGGAAGGGCAGCAGGGGCCCCCGAGGGCAGGGAACCTGCATCCCGTAACAGTGGGAACCAGGGGCCAGCGGAGCACAGCTCGGCCCTGGGGCCCCGCCCAGGATGACCTGCTCCGAATGGGCCCTCGGTCTGGATGCGGGAGCCGCCTCATGGTGCGGACATGCTTGGGAGACATTAGAGCAGGGCCGCCTCTCAGAGGGAGGGAGAAAGAGACGGGGATGTGGAGGGATGGAGGCGGAGTGGGGTGGGCGAGGATGCAGCCCCGGTGGGACCTAGGAAGGAGTCAAGGGGCTGAAAGAGGGGTTTCAGGCTTTTTGTTTATTTATTTTCCCCCCAGCAGTAAATCCTCAAAGCACATCTAGTTACACAATGAATAAGCTGAGGTTTTTGAAAAAGCCAGGAACAATAAAGCTACTCTGGAAAACAGGGGCCAACACTTAGGGGGTGGGAGCGGATACGAACGGGGCCCCCACCGGGTCTCCGAATCTGAGCAGCGGGGCTCAGGCTTGGTCCTGGGGCCACGGGGCGCTGTCCATCAGCCGAGGCCAGGGAGGAAAGTGATGGAAGTGTGGAATTCAGCAATGACCACTGGGTGTTTCTTCATTATCTGTGCTTGGGACCATGCCCAGAGGTATTCAGGGCATCCACGCTCTGTGCTCGGGGCTGACTCCTGGTTCTGTGCTCAGGGCTGATTCCTCGCTCTGTGCTGAGGGTTCTCTCCTGCTTTGTGCTTGGGGCTCACTCCTGGCTCTGTGCTCAGGGCTGACTCCTGGTCTGTGCTCAGGGCTGACTCCTTGCTCTGTGCTGAGGGCTCGCTCCTGGCTCTGTGCTCAGGGCTGACTCCTGGCTCTGTGCTCAGGGCTGACTCCCTGCTCTGTGCTGAGGGCTCCCTCCTGCTTTGTGCTTGGGGCTCACTCCTGGCTCTGTGCTCAGGGCTGACTCCTGGTCTGTGCTCAGGGCTGACTCCTGGTCTGTGCTCAGGGCTGACTCCTTGCTCTGTGCTGAGGGCTCGCTCCTGGCTCTGTGCTCGGGGCTGACTCCTGGCTCTGTGCTCAGGGCTGACTCCTGGCTCTGTGCTCAGGGCTGACTCCTTACTCTGTGCTGAGGGCTCTCTCCTGCTTTGTGCTTGGGGCTCACTCCTGGCTCTGTGCTCAGGGCTGACTCCTGGTCTGTGCTCAGGGCTGACTCCTTGCTCTGTACTGAGGGCTCGCTCCTGGCTCTGTGCTCAGGGCTGACTCCTGGCTCTGTGCTCAGGGA